CGTGTCCCGATAGACAATCACATTATAGAGTATTATATTAAGCTTCGTCCAGACAAAGGGTCGTGACATCTTATAGCCACAGCTCGTTGGTCCACTTCATTAAGACATGAATTATGAATGGGAGGCATTAGCATCCATCTAGAGAGCGCATAACTACAAACACTATTGTCATGCAGATTATTGCCGGACGTAGGCGGCCATACCCTCCAATACGAGATGTTTGCAAACAAACTATACATCGATGATATCCGTTCGTTACTAATTGTTCTTGGAATTGGAAATTCTGATAGTTGTTGTGACTGTTAGAAACGAGATAGTTTAGTTTCGAGTTAGTTTTTGATAGGTGGTGGATAGTCAGGTATGATTGCCAAAGAGTTGTTCTAGCAAAAATATTAAATTCAAATTATTTAAAAGTGAGCATTTATCTGCAGCTTACACTCAGGCGGGTTGCGATTGTTTAGGAATATAGTTATATGTAAATATATAAAAAACAGTTAAATTACGTTCGTATTGAGACGTGGTAAGGTGGTTTAGACGTATCTGTGAAGCCTAAATTTGGTAAACTTGCGTAACTTCGGTGGCAGAACAATGATACGGTACTATGAAGATAATAGAGGGCCATTCCTCCATACTTGCAAGGCTGTCTGTCTCATTGGAGTCCTATGATTCATTCGGACAAGTAATATTAATTGTAGAAGTAAAATAGATTAATGGCACCCAAACCCATAGGAATTAATTTTCTATCTAAACCGCTTAAAATGAGTTCTTGTTTGACCCTGGATAATAGTGTAAACTTATGTACACAATACGAGTTGGTTTACTTACAATATTGGCATATAACTTATCGCAAACTAGTGAAACCAAAACATCCTCAGCCCCAAAGGGAAAAGCAGACATGTCATAAAATAACGTACTAGAATCCATTATAGTGTGTAGACGTACACACACAGACACTCAGCACTTAAGATGCAAACAGTGACATCCAAATCGTTATACTCGTGGGAGATTCAAAATGTATGGGGCAATATTGTGTTAGTGAGTACTATTCCGAACAAATATAGTCGAATATCAGGTATGTGCCTAAACCGCGCCTTTGAAAATATGGACAAAGACTTCAAAGGTAAACCTCAGTAGGGGTAGGTACGCCATTAATAAAATGCTTTGGTTACATCTATGCCCCATCCGGCTTTGTGTCTTTTCTATTCTTTGATGTATTTTAATGTCCTAGGTAGATTGAAAATAGTTTTTTTTGCTGGTAAATGGATGAAATAAAACAATGATGTGTTCCAGAAGCAACATCGTTAAAGTTAGTTCGACTCAAGTAAATACAATTATTATGTAATGCATTTGTATCAAATTAGATGCTTCACTAAAATTTATTTTGTGCATGTTGGGTCCGTCTGGGTAGTGAATCATACTTTGTATTATGTAATCGACTGCACGGATGGCGTAGTGGTTTAAGCGGTCGCCACGCCGCTCCCTACTACGCCGAGTGTTGTGGGTTCAAATCTTGTTGTTCTGAGTCTGGGTGTTCTTTGTGTCCGTTTCATGTATGTTTGTAAGATTCCCCGCCACACAGGATATTTTACTAATGCGGGAGTTGTCTTTAAAGAAAAAAAAAAAAAAAAAAAAAAAAAAAAAAAAAATTGGAAAACTATGGCTGATAGTAGGCCAAAACCTCCTGTCCAGATAAACCACCAAATATTATTAAAATCAAAAATTATAGATAAGACATAAATAATATAAGTTAACTGCGGCACCATCAATAGTTTTGAGAAATGTTATTATAAAAAAGAACCAGAACTGTTCTGAGAATACACATCTTGTTATTATTTAACAGTTGTATTATTTGTCATCAACAGCCTTAAATAGTCCACTGCTGGACATAAGCCTCTCCTTGGAAAGGAGGTTTTGGCTTACTATAACACGCTGGCCAGACGGGTTGGTATAGGGTTTGTGTCAAGTTTTCCTTCTCTCTGCAGTGCTGTTGTTTTTTCGCTTAGTCGGCTCTTACGACACCCACGGCATGAATAGGGGTGGTGAAACTCTGTATTCTTAATCCGTCACCACACGGATAATATTTGTCACCTACCTCAAATTTCATTCGCCTCGTTTCTAAGAAGAGGCCTTTTTCAATCAGTGGACTATTAAAGGCTGTTGATGTGATGATGGCTGATTCTTGACAATCCACTTCTGATTCTAGACTTGGAGGTGTCTATGGCGGACGGTAATTAGCGTGATTGGTTTTGACGACTTTAACTTGCTAACGATGGTCTGGTGATGATTGACAGACAGTGGATACTGAAACCTTATTGTACAGGTATCTACTAGATAAAGATAGTCATTGTTTTGGTTATCACAGGCAACCAAACCAGATATAGTGTCAAATTGCCATCACTTTTCCATTAATGATTTCAAAGAGAAAGAGAAAGAGGTACAAAGCGACAGATGTTAAACGGTTAAACAAAATAAAAATACTTGCGTATATAAATCTACCTATACAATTAGATTCAAGGTGTTTTGAACTAAGAAAACGTATCCTCGCTCGGCTAGCTTCAAATATGTACCGAGCAGTTGCTTCTTTCCTTTTATTTTATTTGACCACTGTAAACATACTACAAAAATTTAGAAAATCAACTGACTTATCCCGCATTTATATCCCATATGTTTTACAACGGCTATTAATTAAAATTATGAAAAATTATCATTTCTGTAACTACAAACATTAAGGATGTACTATTCAATATTTATTTAATTAAAATTCAGCACATTTCATCGTTTGTATAACCATGTATTATGTGACTACCATTGGGTTACCTAGTAGGCAAGTTCCCATTTTGCCTCAACGTATATGCTAGGGTTGTCGCAATGAAAATAACAAAGCCTCAGGTAATTTCGCTAATGCAAGTGGTTACACCCTATCTACATCGCACTTACAGAGGCTTCGCCCGAAGGTACCTATTAAGAGGGTCGACAGACGGGGTATTGTACTCGTAGACCTTCTCGTTTATATTTTGACTAAGTGTTAATATTAAGATTCTATAGCCGTATCATAGTTTGGGTGTAAGAATGACCTAAGAAATTGAGAACGTATAAATGACTTAACTGGTAAATGAATTAGAGTATGCTTAATGTACTGATGTCTATATTTAGAGAATCATAAATATTCGAGTTATGCAAAAACCAACATAACAACAAACGTTTTTACTAACCAATTTCTGTATCACTTTTGGATTAACATCTAATTTCATCATCATTATCATCATCATCAACAGCCTATAATAGTCCACTGCTGGACATAGGCCTCTCCTTAGAAAGGGGGTTTTGGCCTATTATACCACGATGGCCAGACGGGTTGGTATAGGGTTTGTTTCAAGTTTTCCTTCTTTTTGCAGTGTTGTTGTCCTGTGCAGTTTGTTCCCTTAGTCGGCTCTTATGACACCCACGGGATGAATAGGGGTGGTGACAGGAAGCCCGGAAAGCGCGCGCTTTTTAATTTGACAAATGAGTCCGAGGTGGGTTGTTAGATGTTACAGATCATATGCGACTATTATAAGGTTCGTTGGTTTTTTTCTTTCATACTTACACACATTTTAAAATAATATTTTCAGAGAAAGGATATCAAATCATATTTTAATATGAAACTCCTATACTTACTTACATGTTTTTTAGATTTGAAAATGTGCTACGAATGACTCATAGACGTGTTTGACGACGCAAATATTTATTTTTTCTAAATTGGTGTAAAAAAAATAACTGTGGTATAGTTTACTTGGTTTATATATTTGTTTCGCAGGCAATATCATACATTCATATAAGGCCGATTATTAAATAAATATTGGTTTTATAATAGATACATTTCTGTATCAGATTGTATCTAACAAAAATGTCAAAACACAAAACATATCAGCGTGAAACATGACTACGAAACTTTCACATACATACATTTTAGATACAGTTTACAAATTATTTCTCATAAATTCAACAATATTAAAAAAGTTAACAATTTACATTTTTTTTATCTATTTTATAGGATTTCAGATTTACATACATTTATAATACATAAGCTATAAAATTTTGATTTAAAATAACATAAAATATACTTTTTCCAATAAGCAAAATAAATTCTAAACATTTAAAACAGCATAGCTACTTTATATTTATGTACATTTACATTAACAGTTTATATTTAGATATACACCCATGACACTTATTACTTACATGCGGACCCAACGTCCTGCTGAGATGTTAGCTGAAAGAATTACACAATAGCATACAATAATATTACAGAAACATAAATATCAGCAGGAACGACTAAAACACGATTTGCCATTCGAAAGATACCACTGTTGTGTCTTACTCAATAATATGTTTACTTCATGCAATATCAAGCATTTACATTGGGTACAAGCTGACATTTTATGAAATGCTAAACTAATATGTACTGTTACAATCACTTATTGTAGTCCGTTCACCGTTAACGATAAAGATGTAGTCTTTACTCTAATGATAAACACTGCTTTACTTTCTAACGTCCAATTACCGAACACAGACACTTCTCATTGCCGCACATTACTAAGTCATGCACAATTTTAAGACGAGCTGAAAGTATTCGTTTAATTATCTCACGAATTGTACATACGTGACTTATTCAACATTTTGAGAACGTAAAACTCAGTTAAACGCTGGATCTTTATTAATTGAGAATGATAATAACTTGACACATCTCACACACGGCCGTCTGATCTCAAACTAAGTAGAGTCTATACTATGGGATCCAGACTGCTGATAAACATATTTATATATCACTAAATACATGTAAATGATAGATTGATTACACCCAGACACAAAGCAAATGATAGTGCTAATCACACAATATTTGTTTTGGGTGGGAATCGAACCCAGGACCTCTAACTTAGCGGTCAGAATCACTAATCAGTAGACTAATAGGCCAGCCAAAACTATGGCCTTAACTTTGCACATGACCTCGATTGAAAAGCTTAGCATGCGGCAAAGAACAAGGCTGTTAATAAAAACATAGTATGTGGTGGAAAACAATGTGAAGCGCTGGTGGTCGGCCCACCACCGCCAAGGAAGCCTGCATCTTCTTCTCGTCCACCCTCTCGGAGTGGACCTTGTAGACTAGAGCGAACGTCGTTCGTTTCTTCGATGGCATAGTCGTCCTCATCACGTGATTTACGGTTTGGCAACTCCATTTCTGTATTGACAATATAATTATATTAAAAATGTGAATTCGTTTTTTTTAAAGAAAACTCACGCTGTAGGTACCTATATACTCTGTGTAGGGGAAGACTGAACATCAGCATTCATGAAAAGGACACAAAGAATACCCAGACTAAAAAGTACAATTTTTTATTAAACAAAGTGTTGTCCCATGTGGGATTCGAACCCACAACACTCAGCGCAGTAGGAAGCGGTGGTGCGAGGTAACCGCTTAAACTACTACACCATCTGTGTAGTCAATATGCCAATAAGCATACGAGGCTATGCTATGCTTTACCATCCTTACATAAGCCTAAGAATTCTTAAATTACTAAAATTTTCATTATGTCATACTCCATAGTAGAAGCGGTCTGTAGTTGTAACCGCTTTGGCTATATCCAGAAATTTATAAACAAAATAATACGTAGACGCCTCGAGGAAATACTATCCTAGATAACATGAAATTTCAAATTCTACCATGAGCAATTGTTACGCGAGTTGCTGCTTCCAATTCATACTACTAAAGGGAGTACTTAAACTGTTTTATCTTGATCAATTAGTAAGTAACGGCGGATTGGCTCTATTGAGTATCCTAGGCATTAACGACTATTCAACGTACCGTATAACCTAATGTTGCCTTCGGCGTCGCCTATAGAGTTCTTGGAAATGCACTTGTAGCCCCCGAGATCACTCCGTTGTATGTTTCGAATAACAAGTCGCATCTGCACGCTGTATGCCGAACTGTTGATCTCGGTCATCTGGTATTTGTCGTTTGTTATTATCATTTCACCTGCAAGGCAGACAACATTAATAATTTGATTTTAATCCCTTTTTCTCTACATTAAGGGTTCATTGTGCTAGATGAGAGATAATAATATTGACAAAATCACTGAATCACAAAAGCTTAACTCTGAATCAAGTGTTAAGTTTTAGTTTAAAACGTGATTATTGGTATTATGTGATAAATCATATAATTGAACTTATTGGGATTAAGGTTAACATAAAAAAAAAACTTTAGTTTTTATCTTCTTAACTGTAGTATTTATAGATTAGAAATTACAATAGATAGGCCGTGTTATTATCACTATTTAATTGACAACGTTATAACCGCCGCCGCCGGTCGGTTCGTAAAATAAAACGTTAGTCGTTTTTCAGAAAATACTTTAGTAGTAAATCAAATAGTGATTTAGGATATCGCTTGCGACACCAAATACTAATTTTATTTGTGAAATGGTATTCTGTGATTACTGTTGATATAGGCATTTGTTTCACCGCCCTTTATTCGATAGGCGCAAGCCTTTCCGTCCATTTATTTCGTCCACTTCCGACCATTGTCCGTCCGATATCGAATTGAAATATTGTTTCGGCATGTCGTGTGCGGAACAATACACTATACGTTCACATAATGTACCTACTTCAATGACTATGTGTATACGCTAACAGAAATAGCATTTGGTTAAAATAATATTCAATTTCATTCCATGTTGCAATGTCAACAAGCAAATGTTGATTTTAGGGCAAGTGTTAACATTATTCGTTCCTGTTCAACTTGTCAGTCGGAAAGCTTAATGTGCTTCACAAAACAATGGTAATTACAATGATAGACTGCCGCTTTGCGATTGTTAATCCATTAATAGTACGTGGTTGTATTATGATTGGGAATGGTAAATTCGAATAACGTCTATTTTGAATATTGGTGATACAATTGTTCAAAATTAACGAATTTTTTAGAACAATTGATGAGGTAGAGAAACTGTATAGTAAAATACTATTATCGTCTCATAGATACGCCCATCTGTCTTCATTCATTCTTTTCAGATTCAGTGCTAAAGATATTGGGTGGTGTTAACCAATTGCAATGGAAGAAGTCTGACGTGCGATATGCGCCACACCTGCTATTAGATTTCAGAAATTATTTATACCTCATCATTATTATACATATCATTTATACGTTTTCATTCTTCTTTTAAGGCCGGCTGCCAACCTTTCTTGGGAATGTAATCGATTTTCGTACACAGCATAAAGCAAAAAGCTGTTAACCGCGTGCTCAGGTTTAGTTTTAGTCGATCTGTCGTGTGGTAATCTAGTTTCGATGTCGAAATAATAATAATTTAGTAATATTTCAAAATAATATGGTAGAAACATTTACCTAGTAAATAAAAAAATACACACAAAAAATAAAAATACAAAGAAATAAATCACTAATAAATTTAATATTGGGAGTATGTGGGTTGATAGCTGTATCAATTTTTATTCACATATTTTTGTATTGGTTACATTATTACGCGATGCTCCCGCAAGCCTGTTCTACATTAAAAATTGCTTGCATTCTTCTTGTGTCGCTTTATTTTGGTTGCGAATTTTTATCAGACCATAGCTTATGGGTATTAAATTGCCATTTTAATAAACACAGATGTGGGATTTATTTGTCGAGATTTTTATGGTTTCAAAAACAAATTCGACAGTTATTATTTATACTTAAGCCTAGTAATGTACGTTAATTCATGGGTTTTATGTTAGTGCTTTATTTTAATTTAAAAAAAATCATTGTACAATGTATACAGATGTACGGTGAATGTATACTGATTTGTTAGTTTTGTCATGTGTTGGCTTTAGCAAGCAGTGAAAAGGTGAATACGTAATTCAATTTATCTTGATAAGCAACTGAAACTATAAAGAATACTAACAACTATATGTAAAACCATTAAGTAATGAAATCTACTTTAGTAAGTTGTCAATTATAGATCAACATATTTATTAATAAAGAAAACCTTAGAAATAAAGTTTATAATAACTTAAAACGATATTATATCTCTGGACCCACATTTTTTTTTGTGACGAAACATAGGTTGTTTATTAGAACTATAAAACTAATTAGACAACCATACTAGTACTAGTACTACCTACCAAACAAGTAAAGAAATGCTTCATGGGATTTTAGAATTCCATAAGGTGTAACATTCTTAAAATAATGTACGAGTATTATTGACTTATTTCCAAATATTTTTATAGTTCGAACAGTGTCCAATAGCCAATATGTAATGAACATAATGCCTTGCAAAAATTACACAACCTTTTTTATTGTAGACACAATCTTTTTTATTGTAGTATGTAGATAAAAATATGAGGGGCTAATTGCTGCTCGAGATAATCGTAGTACATTCGTAGCAGTCAGCTACGAACTAAGAAGGTATTTATTGCACAAACCATTTGGTATTGATATGTAGAGATTATAATAATTATTATAGTGACTACTTTTGCCTATGGGACATTATTGTTTATTTTTTTTTTTTTTGTTTGTCAAGTGGAAAAGTTTGTCAGTATATTAGGTGAACATATGCATGTAATATGTTGTTGCTTTCAGGTCCAGAATAATGTAGTTGCTATTTCTCTCTAGTTGTACAACTAGAGAGAAATAGCAACTGTGTTTTTTGCTCCGTTTGAACGAACTTAGCAATCTTAGAGATTCTGTCATGTTATATCTACGTTTCAAATCACCACATTTTATTAATAACTAGTCGAAATCTAGATACGATTAGGCTGATAGGCAGTTATATTCACGATATTTTATTGTATGGTAACATTACAATAGCAGTTAAGATTAATGTTAAGATTAAGGGATTAATATTATGGATTTGCATGTTTTCTATCACAATAGCGTACCATTAATATTGTGGTCAAGCCAAAGACATCGAGAGGTGACGCGAGACGTAGGCTTAGCGTTGGAACGTTGACCACAAATCTGCGGGCCGCTTGATGCAACTGACACCTCAGCGGACCAACAGAGCCACCGCTGCTGCCACAAACACGCCCTCTTTTGTTTATTGTTGACAACTTTATTAATTAATTACCAATTTTGAGAGAAATCGACTCCATAATGGCTTTGTGAATATTTGCCTAAAAAGTGAGGCTAAGATTAATAGACATCTTTGTTTGCTATATTAATAATGTTTATTGTATACTTATCAAATATTAATTTCACTATATGGATGTTCCACTATATGGATGTAATAGTCCGAAATAAATAATTTGAATTTGAATTTGAATTTGAATTAATAGAATTTTCAGTAATTTAAAGATGTAATGATATTTTTTCCTCTAAAATTATTTTATTTTGAACCTGTTATATTATGTTAAAAGGGCTCGGACTTCCCGGCAACGGTTAGTTCTAGTGACGGGTATGCGACTATCACACTTTGTCACACTATTTAGTTTCAGCAACATCTCTTTCCTTCCTCTGTGTTTTTATCTAATTTTCTCTTTCAATACAACCAATTTTTGATTATTCCATTCCTTAAAGTGTTCGGTTGCTGGCAATAGGCTTGCTCCCTATTACATGAGTCTGATTAAATTATAGTTGGAATATTGTGGATCTTTACTTCTCCGTTTACCTTTTCGGTAATCCAGGTGCGAGGGTATGCTTAACCTACAAAAGTTATTACAGAGAGCCTATTTTTTTTGCCAAGTAGCATAGCGTTGTATTTTTGGTGGTAAAGTATGGTTGCCCAACTCCGTAGAGGAAGCATGATAATTCAACCATTAAACTAGTGATGTCATTTCGTTTTACAGGTTACAATAAACATTTATGGAAAAACGTATTTAAAAAAAGTGTTTATTAACTATGATCAACACACAAACATACCGCTAAGCACTTGCACGAATGAGTGAGATCATAAATGCTACACGGTCAGCATATGCGAGCCCGCCACATGAGCCTTGGCTGTAATGTGACATGCGATAGAAGGATGAAAAATTTGAGGCGAGGTAATAAAAGTTTCACTTTAAAAGTAAAGGATATCTCGTTTAGGAGTTTTTAATAGAGAAGTACAAGTGAAAGTGAAAGCAGTGAAAATACATTTCACTGCTTTCACAGCTTAACAAGAATACTCGCATATATTGTAGTTTGCCTGCTAGTAACTGGGGACAGAGCAGACAGTTTTGGACAGATGTAAGCTTCTATTGTTTCAAGTATTAGCACTGGACTTTTAATGACATTTAAGCTGAAAAAAAATTGTATCTAATTTAATAATTAGTTTATGCTAACGTAGTGTTTCTGTTAGTATTATAATTATAAAAGTCGATGTTTATTACATTGTAATAAAGTTATCTCAAAACATTGTTAAAAAAATGTTAGGCCAAAGGGCCATTGAAAATAACCTGGACATCACTGTAATAAATTAAGCAATTTTATTTAAATAAAACACGATTGGAATTACAACAAAAATTGTCGGAAGGCCTGGCTGCGAGAGCGGACACTCCCATTCCATGTCCGGCGCGGCCGGCACGCCGCTTGTCCCATCTCGTCACGCCCGTGTATTACCTAATTTAATTTGTATTCCCCGCAATTTATGGGCCGCAGAAGAGCCGTCTACCCCCTCTGTTTGTTAGTAGCGGCCCAGACATGTGAGCCATACGTCACTCTACCATTTGAGCGTTAATTGTTTAAAAAAAAATTGCGTTTATGAATTCTCTGAACAAAAATTCGATCAGTAAATACAGTACACTAAAATCTATTTAATTTACATTTTTTTAAATCACAAAATTCACTTTGACACTGCATAAAAATATTGAATATTTCATAATAATGAATATTAATATGTGATAATGAATATTAAAATGTGTAAATGCGTAAGGGAGTTGGCGCGACACGGGTTCAAAAGCCTGAGCCTCGAAATGCGATGTAGTGTATCGTAAATAATTAGTTTAGCGTACTTTGTCTTTTAAAAAGTAAACGTTGTTTATGTGACATGTTTTCGTTTCGTATTGGCCTAAAAAATATGGCTACAAATC